TGACATGAATGAGTTTACGGGTTTATGTGTTTTAAAAAAAAAAATCTTTTGGTTTAGGAGAGTTCTGATTTTATCTTTGATGGTGTCTATTCAAAAGTGATTTGGTTCAATGATTGCGAAGAAAAGTCAGCGATACTTCACAGTTACGTCAAGTACACTTCGGAAAAAAATAGTGACATGGACATCTCTTGATACTCCTCTGTTGGCTTAGTACTCCCGAATGGCAATTTTAAAAAAAAAAGAAGGAAAAGAAGGAAAAGAAAAAGAGAAAAAAAAAGGAAAAGAATAGGGAAGGAAAAGGAAAAAGAAAAAAAAAAGAAAGGAGGAAAATTTGATATGACTAGATTGGAAAATTGAATCTATCGGGTCTAAGTTCAACCACATGCAGTCTAGACTTAAATGGTGAAACTTGCATGCTCAGTTTCAACGTCCTAGAAATTCAGGGAGAGAAAAGTCAGTGAAGTGTAGTTTGGTGAAAAGTGATGTATTTCTGACTTAACTGATCAAGCATTGATTTCTGATGATCTGCTGATAGGATGTCATTAGATTTAAAATTTGAAAGATCGTATTTAATCTCGCATATATTTTCACTTGATTTTCAAAAATTAAATCTGATTTGAGTTGAGTGGTGAAGTAATGATTCAGTTTATTGGACAATGTGGAACTGAAAAATCAGAGACTTGCAATAAATTTTGATATGAGAAAGGAGGTGTCACTCATATTATCTTTGTGCAAGTGTATTTTTTTTCTCTAAACAATCTGCATAAGATTTCTAAGTGTTGAACAAGAAAATGGTGTGACAAGAGGTGTGAACTCTTAGATGCAAGAGGAAGATTCAAAATTCTGCAAGTCAGGTAAGTATCTTAAATCTCTTCTCACTCAAGATTTTGGATTATTTCATACATGCACACAGGGGGAGAATATGTAGATGATGATTCAGAAGTTGAAGATAATGAGGCAAAGATGATTCTGTCAACAGAACTGAAAACATATAGGAAGAAAGGAAAAGACAAAATCAAAGTGGTCAGAGTTAATTTAAATTCAGAGTCAAACTCGGCTGAGTAAAGTTGTCAAACTTACTTCAGAATCAACGTCAGATATGTCTGAATCATGATGTGAATCCTGATGCGAAATTGTGCTGAATTGAGAATCTTTTTATGTGTGTGTGCATGATCTGAAATAACCAAAAAGGGGGAGATTGTTAGTGCAATTATTTGTACATGTGAAATTTGGTTGTTTTGGTTGTTAAGTGGATAATGCAGGTTCAACAACTTTGAGAGATTTCAGGAGAAAAATCCGATGAGATATAGCTTGAGATATTTTGAGATGCATCTGAAGAGATTCAGATAGAGTCAAAGACCTGAAAAGATAAAGTCAAATATTGAAGAGATAAAGATAAAGATGAGATCTTGGAGATAAATGTGAAATCGAGGAAAATTAGGGAGAAGACTATTAGATCAATTCGTGGAGATCTAAGGCGAACTGGATGAGTCTATATAAAGGAGACACAAGCTGTATGTCGGTTGTGGAGAGTAAAGCATATTTTTACTAAAAAAGAGTTTCGGTTTAGTGAGTGATTACTCACTATTTGGTGAGTGTGAGTCTGAGAGAGAGACCGATTGGGTAAATCTCTTAGTCTCTTGTGAGTGTTTTGGCGTGGATCTGAGGGGGAGACCTAATGGAAAAATCTCTATTCCTTTGGTGAACGTTTGTTTATGTAAGGTTTTTTATCAATAGAATTCGCTATGAGAATGAGTTGAAACTCAAGGGGGAGTTTCATCTGGGTTGTTGAATAGCTCTAACAAAAAGTGAGTTGTACTTGACGTTTTTCTCAAGTGAATAGAATTGATTAGTTTTTTCCGTTTTACTGTTTGAGGGTCCAACTTTTTCAAACTAAAATTTTCATATTAAAATTATATAAAACACTAATATATATATATATATATATATTAGTGGTTATTTTGTTTAGTGTTATGATTTGATATTATTTTTTAGTATTATATTTTAATAAAAATATATAATAGTATACTTTTTAGATTTAATAATGATTATTTTTAATAATTTTTATAATAAAATAATTTTTTATTTAAAAATAAATTAAATTGATAATATTTATATTTTAAATTTATTATTTAATTATTATAAATTTAGAAACTAATGTTTGTAAAATGATACTAAAAATTTAATTAAAACTATTATAAAAATTATTTTAAAATAATATTTTTTTGATAATTTATATCAAGACGTAACCGCAACCGCAACGAATCATTCACTTCTAACCGCACTCACTCGCAATCGCTGTCAACATCAATATATCAACCAGTCAGTATTAATCTTTCATAATCGCTATCAAACATTCTGAAAACGCTACCACCCGCAACCGCAACCGTTGCGGTACAACCAGTCGAACCTTTAATCGTCTCCGATTGCAGGTGATTACGTTTCACAAATCAAACCCTGATAAATCATCAACGAAACACATTTATAGATTATTAAACCGTACTAATTTTTTTTTATAAGTCGTTTGTTTAGAATACACAACTTATATTATAGTTAGCGGTGATCAGCTTATAATACGTTTGCATTATTATCTTAAACAGTTGCCATATGTTGACAATCTACTCCGTGGGCAGACGTATTATATAACCAACTTCCACAGTTTTTTTTTCAGATTTCAAAAAGCAAAAAATTTAACTAAATAAGTTAAGCCAAATGTAATAAAAATGTTTATGATGCACTTTTTTGTTTCACCTATCACTATATGATATTGTCTGCCTATAAGCATAATTTTCTATTATTACTTGACTATATCACATGATCATAGTTTTTGTAAATTTTCAAATTAAAAAAAAACATTATTTCAAATATTTTATTATTTCTTGTTATTTATTGGCATCAAGTACTCTAATCAATATATGCGCTATTTAAATATTTACATATACTTCAGTTTCTATACAATTTACATATTTAATATAATATAGTTTCATATAATTTCAAAGTTCAGTTTATCTAATTCAAATCAAATATGAAACACAATATTATCTAAACCCTAAACAAATTCAAACTCTCCATAATTTTCATATTACATATTTTAGAAACTGTTTGTATTTATAACTAAGATTATAAATTTATAAGAATATATGTATACAACATCGTACTAATTACTATAAGTTGGTGTTTTGACCAATTTGTTTTTGGAATAATGGACCAATCATTAACTTTGGAGTGCCGCTATAATCTCATAGAATTCCTCTTAAATATCCTTCTATTTCTAATTAGTCTCTAATCATTAACACTAAATGTTAAACCTAAACTCTAAATTTTAAACATCCAGCCCGAATCTCTAAACATCAATGTAAACCAATAATAAATCCTTCAACCCTAAATCATTTATAGAAATTAAACCATAAATCGTAAATACTAAATCTTATGATTTGAGTTTAGAAATTAGGATTTTACTTTTTAGGATTGATTTATAGCTTACACTTTAGAATTTAACATTCAAATGTTAAGGCTTAGAGTTTAAAATTCAAAATTTAAGATTTATAGTTTAGATTTTAGGGTTTCTAGTTTAAAAATAGTAAAATACGAAATTTTAAAAAATGTTAAATTGTCAAATGATTCGATAAAATTATAGAAGGATATTTAAAAATAAAAGATGTAGCATAACCGTTAATTTTTTTGTTGTTGTTTTTGTTATCAAGTTAAATGTAAAACTTCTCATAGTTTTTAATGTTAACTAATTTTCAAATTTAGACATGCACAATAATTTCATATGGTAAAAATTCTAAAACAAATAAAAAGGAAAAATTATTATTCTTACAGTATACAAACTACGATCGTAGACATGCACAAGTCCGACGTAGACTCTTGATGTTGACAGATGTTTAATTTTATATATTTAGTACCATACACATTATAAAAATAAATTGGATCAATCAGAAACCACAAATTATCGAAATGTGAGAAATAAATAACTATTTAATTTCCTTTAGTAGATCATAAATTACAATAATCTTTTCTTCTTCCAGTTGATAACAACAAAGACATAAATATTATATTTTTTGTACTATAATATATATCCATATATTAAAAATAAATTTCAAGGTATTTATTTATGAAACAAATTTGCAATATTTATAAAGAAAAAAATGAAAGGATAAGATAAAGATAACTATGAGATAAAGGAAAGGCTGGACTTCCATTTTGGCTCCTACCGTCCAGCCTGTCCATTCATTTCATTTTCATATATATATATATATATATATAAATCATCTCAATGTAGTTTTATTTAATTAAAAATGAAAACGTATGTAGCAAAATTAAAAATTTTAAAAATAAATATTGTGTTCAGTATTTTGTTTTTATTTTTAAAATTGACCATATACCCGCAAAACTTATCTAACCAAAATAAAATTGATTTAGAATTTAGCTAGTTAAAAATGATATAAATTTACCAAATACATTGTTATTATTTAATTAAACCTTGTCATGCTAAATCATAAAAAACTTATCCAAATGACAACCGAACCGAACCGAATCGAAACCGAACCGAATCGAAACCGAACCGAATCGAATCGAATAAAATTAATTAACCGTTTGGTTATGAGTTTTAATAACCTGAAATAACCGAACCCGAAATAACCGTAACCGATTAACCCGTAACCGACCGTTCGTCCACCCCTACTAAAGATAATTTAGAGAGAGAAAAAATTCTCTCATTCAACTAATCTTTTATAGCATCATAGATTCATATATATATATCAAATGTGTATTTCTCTAGATATCATCAACCATCAAAATACAGTTATACTAACAAAAGCAAATAAATCGATTTATATTTAATCAATAGATAAACATAATTATTTTTATGATTAATTAATATATGTGAGACAATAGAATTTGATCTATCTTTCAGCTATCTTTTCAAGATAGGTCCAATAACGACGCGGAGGCATAAAAGCAAATCAATCCTTAAAATTAAATTCAGTGTACTTAATATACAATGAACCAAAAAAGGAGAACTCACCTAACAAAAAAGAACCAAATTGATGAAAATTTAAAATTTTTATTATTAGTTTCTTCAACATTCTCTCTCTATATTTCTCTCGCAAACAGGTTCATCGTTTTGGAATTCCGTGAATCTTCTTCCCCGAAAACAGGTAACAAATCTCTCTCTCTCTCTCCGCTGCTTTTTTTCTTCCTGTTCTCTCTTTTTTTCCCCCTTCTATCCTTCCGATCTCTTCTCTCTTTTCTGGTACTTTTTTTTTCTGGTTTCTGTTTGGTTGCCAAGAAAACGCAGAAATTTTTTCTCTGTTTTTTCCGGGTGATTATCTCATCCTTTCTTCTTCCAATTTTGCAGACTGTAGCAAACTTTATTCCTCATATTTTTCGAATCATTTCCAGATTATTGACGAACCTGGTTCGAATCATTGACTGCGTCCACCTCCGAGATCTATTTGACGAAAACGCTAGAGGAAAAAATAATTCAAAAATCATGGCGGAAGAACATCGATGCCAAACACCAGAAGGCCACCGTCTCTGCGTCAACAACTGCGGCTTCTTCGGCAGCTCCACCACCATGAATCTCTGCTCCAAATGCTACCGAGATCTATGTCTCAAAGAGCAACAAGAAGCCTCAATGAAATCCACCGTCGAGTCCTCCCTCTCCCCTCCCTCTCCCTCCTCTTTACCTCCTCCGTCAGCGATCGAATCGATCTCTTCCCCGGCGATCGAATCGATCTCTTCCCCGGCGATCGAATCGATCCCGGAGAAATCCGCTTCCTCCGCCGTGGCGAGGGAGGTGGATCTGACGCTGGAGACGGCGGAGGTTGTGAAGGCGGTGAATACTCCGGCGACGGAGCAACCACCGTCTCCGTCGCCGTTGCAGCCAACCCGGTGCTCGGTCTGCAGGAAACGGGTCGGGTTAACAGGGTTCAAGTGCCGGTGCGGGACGACGTTCTGTGGGACCCACAGGTACCCGGAGCGCCATAACTGCACCTTCGATTTCAAATCCGTCGGTCGTGAAGAGATCGCGAAGGCGAACCCTCTTGTCAAAGCGGCGAAGCTCGACAAGATCTGATCCGATCGATCTCAACCGTTTGCGATTGACTTTTTTTTCTTTGAATCCGCGTTTGCGATTGGGACTTTTCATCTTGGTGGATCTCAGCCGTTCATCATGGTTGTTTATATATGTAAAACATATATATACTGTCCAATGTGTTTATCTGGGACACGTGTCAGTAGCTCCGGCTGAAACTTGAAAGACGATCTCCTCATATTTCCCATGATATTTTTCCTTTTTTCCGAAGAATATAAGTTATGATTTTGTACCCTTTCCGTATAAAAGGTTAAAAAAGGAAAAAAGAAAATATAAATTTTATGGTCTGTTTATTAATATCTATTTGGAAAATACAATGATCGTACGACTTCTGGATTTTCTTAAAAATTATACGTTTAATTTAAGATAAAATTGAGACAAAAATAAGAAGTTTGTGATATTTCCATCTTACAATTACAGAATATATTCAAATAGTTCTGTAGGTTTTCATTGCTATTGGTCAATTGTTAGAATTTTGTGTTTGGTGGTTTTTCCCTTTCACAACAATTGTGATTTTTTTTTTGCATTTTTTAAAAATATAAAAAAAGTCATATATGAGAAGATCGTCTTTCAAGTTTTTTTCCTAAACCCTAAACCCTTTTTAACTATTTTTATTAAATATATTTTTGTAAACTTTGATAACATTATCTTAAATATTGTCTTTAGTGAATATTCGTGATTTTACGGTAAAAAATTAGTTAAGAGTGAAAATCAAATTTGAGAAAAATTTAGTCTGGAGATAAAATCAAAATTTTCACAATTTTAAATTAGATTTCAATGGTTGTATATTGAGATCCAACAAATGATATCAATTAAAAAATCAAAATAAAATTTTCAACGTTGAACTAGAAGAGAAAAAATCTGATGAAAAAATGAAGGTAAAATTGCGTTCTCATTCAAATCTATACAAACTCCATTAATTATTATTAATACTTTATTGAAATTGGGTATTTTTAATTAATGGTGAAATTTTTAAAAATTTAAAACATTAGAAAACAGCAAATATTTTCTAAAACAATAATTATTTAGAAATGAAAGGAATAATAATTATATAAAAATAGTCGAATTTTTGGATAGAGATTTAAGTTAAGAAATAACCAATTAGTTTTATAATATAATATTATCAATAGTCGAATTTAAACAAGATATGAAATGTTATGATATGCAAAAACTATGTTAGAAAAGGTAGTATTTAAAGGAAAATCACATATTAATATATAAAAAAATCAGAGATAAATATACGAACTTTAAAATTTAAAAAAACAAATATGAACTCTTCTTAATTTTTACATTAAAACTTGAACTTTTAATTTTTTTTTAAAAAAACCTATATCATGGTGGCATTTGAAAATATTTTAAAATTTTAAGATTTAATTTCATGACAGTTTTTAGGAATAATTTAAAATTTCATGATTTATTTTTTATTGTTTTTAAAAAATTGGTTTAATATAGGAATTAGAAAGAGTTTATGTATTTATTTTAAATTTTATTTATTTATCTGATATTTTTTATAAGTTCATATATTAATATGTCATTTTTTCTATATAAAATGTATAGTAATCTAATAAAAAAACACCTCATTGTGACAGAAAATTACTAAACTTTTGACATTCGCTACCAACTATAAGGATTAAAAAAAATGGGTCTACAGTCTAAAATTTCTTCCAAATTTAATTTTCAGTTTTTTCTTTTTTCTTTTTGTTTTTTTATGTGAAGAATACATGCCAAACTCGATGATAATTTAGAATTCTCCGTTACTTCGACCTGAAATTCGGCAACCGAAGATATTGATCAAATTGTTAAACCTAATTTCAGCTTTAATTATTGTTATTGAATTATTAAAATTTCGGCTACGACGATTGTCCATAACAAATATAAAAGATGATACTGATGTCAATAATGATAGATGGAGGTTTCTAACCCTAGTTCATTTTATATTTTCGTCAAGTAATTGAATCATATGAAATATTTTGAGACATATATTATATTATATATATTGTGGTCGAGTGGTCGGTCTGTGATGGAGAACCATCGTAGGTCGAATGTTTGATCCCGCATGATGGAGAGGGAGATAATTTTTGAGTCGAAGGCCCATATACAAAAACTGTTTTCATATCGAAAATTTATCTAGTGAGCACACCCGAAAAATAGGAATTAGATCATCCGTTATCAAATATATATATATATATATATATATATATATATATATGACTCCGTTATCAAATATATAAATATGAGTTAAATTAAATGAAGAATTAAAAGATGATCATGAGTCATGACCTTACTTTAAAAGTCCTTATCAATGATAAGTTGTCTCCGTCACCGATTATGTGGATTGGTCCACACGGGTCGGCCTTACTGTCATAAATCCGTGTGTGTAGTTACAATTTGACAAATAATATATTTAGAAAAAAACAAGATTAATTTATTTAATACTTTTTAAAAATATATAAATATAAGTACTTCACCAATTTTTTTTTTTAATTTTATGAAAACCTAGTGGACCTGGTAATAACGATCAGATGGATCCAACATTTTATTTGTTTGTTCGATGAAGGCATTATCAAATTGCATAATACAGTCAAACCGACTCAACTAAATTCATATTCCCCAATTACTACAAAACCCTCTTTAAATATCTTATTTAAAGATCTAAGAATCCCTTAGAAGCTAATTCAATAATAGAAAATCTTATAAAAACATTGAATTTATTAAAAAAAAAGTAACATGAATTTGGAAGTTTCAAAAAAATCATATTAACTTAGACTTACTTTTTAAAATAAAATATATTAAATTTGTAAATTTACTTTCAAATCAGCTATTTGAAGATATTGATCGAATTTCCCAATATTTGATATCCTCTGTAGTATATCGGAATAAATGACATGGCAACCGGTCATAAAAAAGTTGTCTATATCACTAAAAAAGTAAAAATAAATAATAAAATAAATAAATCATATATATACACACATATAGACATATGCATATATACACAAATAGACACATGTATATATATATATATATATATATATATGTATATACACACACGTACACATTTATGTGTCTACATACACAACACACGGATTTATAAGCTTAGTGGTTAGTGTGGAAAATAGAGACAAATAAATGTGTTTTTATTAGAAGTTTGCAAGTTGTCTTTGGTCTTGTGAAGCAAAAAATTACACAGCCAATGAGGCCATGGGTTGGATTATCCATGGTGGCAGCATGGCAAAGAGCTTGATGTAGATGAGGTTGTGGTGGTCCATTCATGGCGGATTCCTCTAAGAGTGGAGGAGAATGGGCGGGCCATTTTATTGTTATAAAAATGGATATGAAAAGAATGAGAACCCATAACTTTTTTAGGCGTGAGGATCACTTCTCGAAAATGTTATTTCGTCCCAAATGAGCAAACGGGATACCGAAACACGCTTCTGAGATATAAAGAAGAGATAATACATTTTGTTTTGCTGTACAACAATCACCAAAACAAGAAACTTGTGAAGAAGAACACCACACTTTTTGATTAATTTGCAAGAACAATCAAAATGTTCACTCAAAATCTCTCAAATTTCGGTTAGATCTCGTACTTAACTTATTGTGACGTCTTTAATATATAAAATACTAAGAGACATCACCAAAAGTTGCAAAATCTGCAGTTTTCACGCGACCAAATTAAAACTGACTCGGACCGAATTACTTCTGACAAAATATGAGGTACTTCTCACAGACTTTTGACTCGAACCGAGTTGAAACTGACTCAGACCGAGTTACACCTGACATGGTCCGAGTTACTTCTGACTCGGACCGTGTCAACTTTCTGTGCAAAATAAAATTTTCCTCAGAAAAGTAACACGGACCGTATTAAATCTAACACGGACCGAGTTATATTTCTGTAAAGAAAATTCTGTTTTAGTCATGTGGACTGAGTTCTACTTCACTCGGGTTGAGATATAGCTCACTCACGAACTGACCAACTTTACTACCAAACACATATTTGTTTCATCGATCCATATTATATCATTTACGAATATTTAACTCCTCCACCATATTCGTAATACATATAATTATGAATCTCTTGAGAGATTATTCTTGTCAACCATTTACTCTAAAATATACAACATTTCTTCTTCTCCTCTCAGAGCTGTTGCTTGCACTAACACAGTGACCTGAAATGAACTGTAAAATTTTAGGAGAAAGGCCTTTGAGTACACTTCTGTAAGCCGTATGCCCTATATATATGTTTGTTTAAGTAGAAAACCAACCAACCGGTTCCATGTGCTGGGCAATTGAAGATGAACAAACAAGAGGGACTTATGAATGGGCAGAGGGAAACTAACATCGAGGCAAGCATCCCGTGGACAGGGCGATACACTGGCTTTCTGGGCAGTTTCAGGATCGAAGTGGAGAGGGTTCCAATCATCTTCATTTGAGTGTAGTTCTCTTCTTAAACAATTGAACACTACACTCATTGCTCTGATTCCAAAGGTCAAAACCGCAACTTAGCTTCGGGATTTCAGGCCTGTCTCATGCTGTGACTTGATTTACAAAATTGTCTCAAGGATCCTACAAAGCGACTCAAGCAAATTCTTCCACTCATAACCAGGCCAAACCAGACGACATTTGTCCCTGGGAGAGCACTGGTTGAGAATGTGTTGTTAGCTATGAAATTGGTTACAAGATTAAATGGGCTAGGTACTCCGAGAAAGGCCTTGCTTACGATCGATATTAGTAAGGCATTTGATACAGTTAATTGGGAATTTGTGCTGCGAATTTTGACGGCCCTGGAATTTCCACGGATATATATCAAGTGGATACATGAGTGCATCACTGCAACATCCTTCTCGATATCTTTTAACGGGGAAATTACGGGATTCTTCAAAGGCAAACGGGGTGTTAGGCAAGGAGACCCCTTATCGCCTTATCTCTTTGCACTCGTTATGGATATGCTATCAAGGCTGCTTGATCGTGGAGTTGATGAACACCTTATCATCCTGCCGCCTGTGCTTCGCCGAATATTTCGCACCTCATGTTTGTCGACGTAGTTCTAGTTTTCTTGGACTGTTCACGAGGATCTCTCTCAGCCATTATCACTACTTTTGACAACTTCTACTATACATCAAGCCTTCAATTAAACAAGACTAAGACAACATTGTATATGGATGGCCTTAGCGATGCCTTGGGTTAGTCTACAGCTAACCACATAGGTATCTCCTGCTCTAAACTACCTGTAAGATATATTCGTTTGCCTCTTTCAGGAATGAAAATCAGCAGTTCAGACTGCTGCAGATTAATTGACTCA